ACGCTGAACTGAGCATGCGGAGAGTGTACGCGAAATGATGTTATTAGATATGCCATTGCCATCTACTGATTAGTTGCACAGTTAAATGGATCTTAATGGGATATTTAGGCATAAATAAAAAGTGATCAAAACACGAATATTATTTTTTGATATTTTTTGTGTTCAGATCCGTAAAACAAGAGTATTCAAAGAGTAATGAATGGGTTTTAGGAGTATTTTAAACTTTATCCCAAGAAGGGGGCGATGAAAATAGTCCAGAGAAATTATTGGAATGAATCATAACTCACATTTAGTTATTTAACTGAAAAATTAAGTGACGTAAGTATGAAATCTCTGACATGTAATCTTAAAGAAGGGGGCGATGAAAACAGTCCAGAACACTTATTAGTATGAATCATAAACTACTTTTAGTAAGTGAAATTACAGTAATTGACATATAGTATGACATAATGAGTATAGAATGACATACATGTAGCTAATTTGGAGTTAAGTGTTTATTTGCACGTCAACAATTCTAAGTTTAAATGACAAACACCTTCTGTATATGACTCCAGCATTCAGTCGATGGTGATACATGTTTGAAAATATAAGATTAAATAAGAAACTTTTGTTCCTTGTTACTCATATCGTATTCACCCTGGTCATCTCCATTTTCATATCTACCCCATTGTCATCAAATAAGAATGTTTGTTCATAATCAAGAATATTCTAATTTTAGCCATTCTTTTAAAGAAGCGATTCTTGGTGTATCTTACATATTTTCCATGTTTGTATTGAATATTATATGGATTAACATATGATTTCTAGCCTTTAGGTCCAGCACTATACACACCATGTTTGCCCCACGTGTAAAATCCATATCCAATCCCTCCGAGTAAACAATGTCTCCTGTTCCATCCATGATTGATGAAGAATTCATTTAAAATCAAAGTACATCTTTGCTGAATAAATTGCCTTCATTCACCAAATACCTAGGATTTATTCATGCAACTTTTAAAGCATAAGCAGGTAAAGACCAAAAATGTCATGATACAAAAAGAGAAATGTAAGATCAATAGGATAGTTTCTAAATAGCAGAAAAATCAATGAAATCTCGTGCTGCCATCTTTTATTCAGCTTTTAACTCTGGCTAGAGCTCCATTCACTTACATGCTAAAATCTTGGAAAAGTGGCTTAATTTCATGATTTATCAAAGTGTGTTTGTTGAATCTGTATAAAACTTGAATGATATACCACATGATGACCCTGTTTATGAACATGTTGTGATTAAACATGCTAATGTTGATTGACATACAAATAATCCACGGTTTTAAAGAATTTTAGCATTGCATCTATGGACATTTGGCCCAACTTTTTTTAAATTGTCATAGAAAATTATTCAAATTACATAACTGTGTAAATCAAAGCTATTTTAGGAGAAAACATTCCACTGAATTCAAATATACCATTTAAAAGAAGGTAATGTAAGTCATTAGAGGTCTAATATGCAAGTCTCTTAAAATCTCATGAAAAACGAGATTTAGCGAGATTTCAAAAGCTATATGGAAACTATACTATTAAAATAAGACTATCTACTTATAAACTATGTTTCAAGTGTTTTTATTGATAAAGATCTGGATGGTTAATATATTTTCAAATAATGATGACTGATATAATTCATTAAAAAATATTGTTTAACGAAAGGACCAAAACTTACACATCTGTTGGCCAGATCTGATTGTTTTAATTTTGTGGTTAAGATGGAGAATAAATGATGGAATACAGTGTATTTCCTGCACATGAAAGTACCAATGCAAGCAAATGATAGTGTGTCAAATTGCACCTTCCTGTAACCAAATCAAATTAAGCTACAAAATACATTCAATAACATAATTCTATGACTCTTTAAGGCTAGGTTGTGCAGGCTGAGTTACTTAGCATTTATTGTACTTGATATTATACCTATTTTGAAAACAGTCTTTTCAGTGCCACTTTAAAGTCTCCCATTCTCCAACAGTACACAAATGCATTGCAAATTGAGTTACAAAATGTGAATAATTTAGTGAAATAAAAAACATTTGTAAGAGTTTCACTATGTGCTTTGTAATAAGATCTAGCCAAGTTCAGGATTAAGTAAGGTGAATATACTACGACCAAAATCCCATAGACAATTAGAATTGTTTTCAACAGTTTCATTTCTTTTCTCCAACACTTTATCTTTGTCCAGCTTTTGTCTATAGCCATTACCAGGATACAGACTTCTTTTTGACGTTTTCGAGCGATTTGAAATATCTTTCCGTAAGCAACAGCTTCTAACAGACCAATTATGGAGGCCTGTACAACCATGATCCACAGGATAGCGGTGCTGTCCACCACTGAGGCAAGAAGGCAAGGTGACCCAGGCTCCCAGTGGTTGAAATACATCAATAAAGAGATACACAGCAGCACATAAATCCATATACATGTAATGACTCCTAATATGACCCTTTTTGTTATATGCTCTTCATAGAAAAACGGCAATGTTATCGCTATTGCTCTTTCTATTGAAATCATACCCAGAAGTGTAAATGATAAAGAAGCTGTAAAAACAAGTCCCCAGAGACTTGAAAGACATGTCCATCTTTCTGTATATTCATCTTCAAGATTTAGCACTTCTGGCATGTTAATACGAAAGCTTGTAAATGGTAAAATAACCCCAAGAAGGAGGTCCGACACTGCCAAACTGCATATCCCTATATTAACAATTGTCTGGAGGTGTCTGAACTTGCATATTGCTGCAATCGTTAAACTATTTGAAAACACAATTGGTACACTGACTGTGAAATATAACACACATCTCAAGGTAGCCATCTTATTTTCAAAGTTAATTTTTCCTTTTACATCTTCCATGGTGGTACATGTAGCATTATTTATATGAAGACATTGTTTTATGCTTTCAAGTGAGTTTTCCGTACTCATATTGTCTTTGTGGGGCTGTCGCCAGTCTGGATAATGGTTTTATTCTGGATCTAAATATAATTTGCTCTTTTAGCGGCACATTTGCCTTTGATCTTGTGAATTTATATTGTTTGAATTGCTGATGAATTTGAGATGTTTGTGTCCATTAAATGGTGATTAATTATTAATACATAGAATTCAAATAAAATGGGTAAGTGATAGTGCATGTGTATTTATTTGTGCGAATGAAAGAGAAATATTAATGTTAATTTGAAAGCACTATCAAGTTCTGCTTGAAGCAATTCTTAATAACTTCTTCATATTTTGTAAATATTTTAGCTTTGTTCTAAAAATAGGTATTATTTTTAGATCCTATGCATAAAAAGTGACTGAAACATCAGAGCATTGGAATATTGTTGAAAAGTCCTATTTTGTAAACAGACCAGAACATGTCCCTTAATATATATTTTGTTGTTTTCACAATGCTGCTAAAATGAAGGCTTATTGCTGGATTCAAAATTAAGTTCAGAAAAGAAGGAATAGGGAAAAATCTGAAGAAAAAAGATCACAATAGACCCATTCTATTCTGTAAACAGTGTGTTACAGAATGATTGCACAAACAGTGTGCTACAGAATGATCTATACCAGTATGTGTGTATAGCACAATGGATGGAGAAAAATTGGGGATCCAGAGGGTTTAATCATAATGCTTTACATGTCTATACCCACAGACACATGTTACTAGTGATCAACAGCCTATATTCAATAGTCTGTTGTTCTATTAACCAATTGTTTTCATGATTTGACTGTCCAAATGGTAAAATATGGCAAATATTAACATATTCAATTACAATTTTATATACTGTAGTGTACATGTACAATGAGTTGTTGAACAAAGGTTTATAGATTTTGAAATTCATCAATTCTAAAATTTGTCATACCCTGATGTATCCCTAGTTGACTCATCATTAAATGATATTAATACTAGCAGATGATTATCAGAAGAACGACAATTTGTATAATAGCTTAAAAAGTGTTAAAACAGCAATTATAAGAGGGGCATTGAAATGAAACAAGCGTTAAAAGTACACTTCTGTAGGTTGTACTGAAATGTACTTTTTAAATACTTTAAGTATATTTGTGCACATAAAATATACTTAATTTTTAAGTTTAAAATAAAGTTATAATCAATTTTTTATGTATAAAATTGAGATCAAATATATACTGAAAATGTACTTAACTTTTCAAGGACAAAAAAGAACCCATTATCTTTCTAATAAAAATATGCATTAATTTTCAGTAAAATTTTCAAGTAAACACAAAAATGAACTGACAAAGATATTTAAAGGAGAACCCCCGATAAGGAGAGCTTTTTAGAAGGACACAACTATTTTATTCTGGAAGTGATCATCATGAAATTTTAAAATACTTTTACAAATGAGGTGAATTTATACATCCTGAAATATTTTCTTCAATTATTAAAACGTGCGTTTGAAGAACGGTTTTTGTGAAGCGATAAAATTCAATTTTCCATATTTAACCGTTACATTTTGCTTAAAATCAATAACTTTCCCATTACTGTACGAGCAAAATAGAATGTGGCTTTTAAAGTAACATAATGAAGCAAAGTCTTAGTTTTCGTAAAGAAATCGATGGGCGTTCCACCATGAGTGGAAAAGGTCTCAAAAACATATTTCTAGGAAAACGCCCATTGATTTTTTTTATTTTCTAAGAGTTCAGATAAATAGGTATCTTACAACTGTGACACTTTGTTCCTATCCCATCAGGCCATACGAGGATTTTAACCACAAATAAAGAGTCTAACCTTAAAAAACGAGTTCATAGCCTTGCAAAAAATGTTCTTAAAAAAACAATTTTTATATCACACAAGTTGTTTTGGGGAATATCTAAGATCACCTTATATCTAAGATCATCTCTGATGTAGTGTTAAACTTCCATGATGATCACATCCAGAATAAAAAAGCAATGTCCTTCTAAAAAGCTCTCCTTATCGGGGGTTCTCCTTTAAAAGTTTTTAAAGTCAAAATATATATCATATATATTTTATTCCATTATGTTTTCAGTTGGTCTCCAAACCCCAGCAGTTTGATGTGATGGTGATGCCCAACCTTTATGGCAACATAATAAGTAATATAGGAGCAGGCTTAGTTGGTGGACCAGGGGTGGTTCCAGGCATGAATGTAGGCACAGATTATGCTGTATTTGAATCAGTAAGTGTGCACATATTGTTCAGGGACATTCTACCGTATAATTAAGTGTAAAGCTTGTTTAGAAAAAAGTGATAAAAAATTTCAACATAACTTTGGAAACGTTGATGTTGTTAATGGTTATTTGAATTGACTTTAATGTTTGAATAGATGTCGCATCATACATATAGCCTACTTAATATTTGGTAAAGCCGTCAGAGGTGTAGCATTGTGAACAAAAATTTTGATTTCATTTGACACTATGTATTCATGCCCAAAACTTTGGATTGTCAGAAAAGCTTAACATTTTAAGCATGCTTTTAGTAGTCCTTGACACATTTTGGATAGATGTCGATGTCATAGTGGTTCTCAGATGAATTTATACCCCTACTCCTAAAAAAGCTTGGGGGGGACTATGTAGCATACACACATGTATGTAACCTGGCTTTTGTGTATGTATTTTGAAACTCTTCTTTAGGGCTGCAGAAACACAGGGAAACACATTGCTGGGAAGAACATTGCTAACCCTACTGGAATGCTCCTTGCTGGTGTAGACCTACTAGTATACCTCGGGTAAATTTTCCTATACTATCAAAAAATTTTCTTGATGATAATATGAAATCTGATTTAATGAAAATATAAGTAAAGTAAAACCTGTGTATATTGAACATTTCTGAAAAGAAAAAGCATTCAGTGCAGGCAGGTGTTCATTACAGAGAGGGTAATTTATACAGAAGTCAGTAGAGTATGTGTGGAGGAAGGGTGTCTACTAAAGACAAGTGTTGCTGAGAGAGAGAGAGAGAGGTGTTCACAAAGACAGGTTTTTTCTTTATGTGCCAGAATGTGTTTCTCCCTCCCAACAATGAAAACAATTAAGAAAAAGTGTGAAAAAATGTCAGATTTGAAATGTTGTTTGAATCTCATATTTTTGTACATGCAATATAGTTTCCCACAATATGCTGAGAATAGTGCAATCAATTACATTATTTCCAATCAGATTATTATCCCTTCAAATAAAGCTCTAGAGTGGATTTAGAGAATCTGTTCATCTGTGCAACCGATTGTCCAAATGCTATGACAAATGCTATATTTTGTAACTGGGTGAAATAAATTCATGAATATTTTTTTCCCAATATTACACAATACAATAGAAAGTGGGAATTTCTAATAACCTCAATTAATTTATCTAACAAGTCTGACGGACAATGGAATGACTCGTTGATAATGAACTGATAATAATGTAAATGACACAACAGAGATTATTCATATTTGTATTTGACACTTTTGTGACGTTAATGTTTCTATTAAAATCCCTTGTTTGACGTTACTTTGTGGTATAGCAAATAATCCAAAAACGCATTAACAAATAGTGTCAGAAATATTACAGTGAAAGTAAATTTTCCAGAAAAATTGAGAAATGTGTTTTTCATAGGTGTTTTGCAATATTATCAAATTGAATATAAATACTTTGAAGAACAATAAAACTGTTTGATGAAAAGAAATTGTCACATGAAGATATTGAGCCTAGGAATTGTACATGAAAAACTGCTCATCCAACATTTCTGAAAATATTCTTCAAACACATAACAAACAGTATATTTTAGAGGCTTGTTTCTGAGAAATTTCCAAAAACATATTGTCCAAAGACTGGGATGCATTGCCTTCAAGGAATATATTATGACTGTCCCACTCTCTGTCCCTGTCACCACTAATCATCTCCATTCTTGCCAAAGTGTGTATCCTGTGAATCTTGTGAACCATATAAATAGTATAAAAATATAATTTTGTTCACTAATTCTACTGTAAAGTTTGAAAAAGGCATTAAATCATTGAGAAAAGAGCAATTGTAACATTTAAATAACATTTAAATATCCAGGGGACTTACTCCCCATTTTTACAGGCCCTAAGGTCAGGCCAATTTCTAATAACCTTTTATCATGGTTACGATTATGTTCCAATTGTCTTGTAGACCTATTATATGCAACAATTGTCATGAGATGGTTAAAACTATATTTTATCTTTTAGTTTTATGATTTTAAATAAGCGTATCAAACTTGAGATATAGATTCTCAAAATGTCTTCAGCTCTATTATAACAATGATTTGAAAAGTTATAAAAAGTTGGTAGGTTAATTTTTAACCCTATTTGCAGGCTGGAGCAACATGCTGGTCTGATTCAAGATTCTGTCATTAACACAATAAGCCAAAAAGAGGTAAGTGCTGTTTTATGTCCCCACCATATAATGTGGGGCCATATTTTTGGCCAAGGTGAGTCTATCTGTACCCCTGGCATTTTTCTCCAAAACCATTACAGATATCTCCTTGAACTGACTAGCTTTTGGGCATTCTGGGTAAATGTTAAATGTCACTTCTGTTGACCCATTGTGATACAGTCTACTATAACACATGAAAGAAAGTTGTATGAAATTTACATTATCAAAAGTGACAAATTAAATTATTTAGAAACTCATATAGTCAGGTCACAAATGTTAGTACAGGGTGTCCCGAAAGTATGGGGCCCCTCGTAGGCAGACATACACCAATGTTCCCATAGTATGTGCCATATATCATTTTAAAGCTTGTTCAAAGTTACATTGATTTGCCAAGTATCATCGTTCAACTTACAAATGGGAAAAAGTTACAGGCATTTCAAAACTTAGTGTTTGGCCAAAATTAAAGTTAAAAGAAGTATCCTGGAAACACCGCTAACCTGAATGTGACCAAAAATATGGGTGCTATCGTCAAAGAGAGGATGGATATTGAGTTGTCAAAAGAGATCGGTAAGGGCAGATGCTCCAAGGAAACTCTTCTAAAATGCCTTAAAATAAGGATTTATGAGGATTATAAAATGCCATACCCCTATTTGAAGTGCATTTAAGGTCATATCTGGAAAGAAATGCTGCTGTTAACATGGCCAAGGGAGACATGCCGACTATTAATTTTGTGTAAAACTAGACTTTAATTTTGGTAAAACACTACATTTTGAAATGCGTGTAACTTTTTCCCGTTTGTGAGTTGAACCATGATACTTGGCAAATCAATGTAACTTTGGACAAGCTTTAAAATGATATATGGCACATACTATGGGGACATTGGTGTATGTCTGCCTAGGGGGACCCATACTTTCGGGGCACCCTGTACAGTATTAGACCTCTGATGTTTGAGTCTATTTCAGAACCGACCTCTGATTTTTGGGCATGTTGCCTCTAATGCTAATTTACCTGTCCAGATATCAGTTATTCACTGCTTTTGTAAACAAATATTTTGATCTCCTCCAGCATCAGGCTTGAATGTCTTATCTATTTTAACATTTTGCCTCTTATGTGTATACTTCAGCATTCACCTGATCTTCATTATTGCAACAAGAAACCCATGATTTTGTATCTATTCCATCCATTGCTTTGTAAACTATTTCAGTATCAAACCCCAGATCTTGGAGGACAGGCTACCTCTACTGAGGTTGTACAAGCCATTATAGATGACATTAAATTCAAAACACAAGAAAGGTGAGTGATTCACGTAGTAATAGCAATTATCCTAAGATTAGAATATAATCAAGATGCTATCATGAAATAACAATTATATTAATAGTTCATAAATCATGTAATTTGACAATTTGTATGACAAAAGTTATGCCATATACTAGGGGTTTTGTTGATAGATTAAGCATTTTTGGATGTGTGGATTTGTTTTGAAATTGAAAAGTAAAAGACTCCTACTTTGTTTCATATTAAACATAGGAACATTCCTAACTAATCTTTAGCTGTCTTTATATGGTTTAACTAAGTATATACATTGAATGTATGTGATAATATGTCAATTAAAACATTTCCTCAACAAAAGATGCTGAATTTGATTTCAAAACAAGTACACACCATGTATATGGGCAATAAGCAGTGTGGATGTGCATAATGTATTGCAAAGTGTTAGCTTTATGAGCTGCTTTGGAATGAAAGAAACTAAACTGCTAGTGGATGTTTATGCTCTAAGAGTGGTAACTGAATTGGAGATAAATGTGATTTTTTCAACAGAGCCTTACATCTGATGAGTTGTTATCAACTTATATGCTCTTCAACGTGTAATTTTTGAACGATGATGTTATAGCAGGGCTAGTGATGACAAATTATTATAGCCTCTAACTATTTTGTGGACAGTGTTCAGAAGTCGACAGTCAATTTGAGACAGTCAGCATTTGTAACAAATGGCAGGTTGAAATTCAGTTACCATTCCTTACGTAAAGCTTCTATACAACATTATTTATGCTCTCTGTTTGGAATTGCTTAGATATGGGCCGCAGTAACTATGGGTAGGATTATGACAAATTAAAGATATAGTTATAATTTTTTATATTTAGGGATGGTGTCCAATAATTAACACTTGTGGATTAACGAAGTTAATTTTGTTATAGTTTGACCCCACCTCTCCATGTCTAACAAAATTTTGAAATGTTTGTCACATGATTTGCTAACGAAACCATCATTTACCCCCTTCCCCCATAAGGAAACTAACTTCATTATTCCACAATTGTAGATAATTGGACACCATCCCTTACTCAGATCAATAATTGTCAGGCATCTAATGCCTTATTCCATATGATCTTCACAGGATTTTTTCTCAATTGGGTGCAAAATTCTCATTTTCACAATTCAGACCAAAATTGCCCATTTTTCATGATTTTTCTCATTTTCAAGTGGGTGCAGATGGATTTTCAGGTGGGTGCAAGCCTATTTTAAAAATCTCAGAAGGGTGTTGCGCCCACTTGCTCTAATGTTGGGGAGATCACTGACTTACGACTAGTAATTTAAGGCTTCTCATATCAACTCAAATGCTGGTAGCCAGATCTTTTTCATGATTCAGGCTTACCACTGGACACCAGATGGCTTGGTATTGATAAGATGAAGCAAACATTTGAGCAATCAGAAAATAAGGGTAACTACTGTATACCTTGTCAATTTCCTTCTTGCTTTAAACAAAAAAATAAATAAAGCAAAATATTTTTAGACAACTAGCTTGTGGGAGAATTTCACTTATTTTACTTAGCATTATCTCTCATTTTAAAGTTTTACTCTCATTAATCCCATGTTAATTTCACCAGATTTGGACCTAGTCATCTCTGGTACTGTGACCCTGTTGGAAATTGCATTGATGCGAAAGACAATTACATCTGAATGAGTAGAATTCACTCTATGTTGTGAGATGCTGTTTTATGTTATTATTTGCATTAAATTGTTATTTTGTTTTGTCTGTTGTTTAGATATGGTAACAAGTAAGTATACAATATACAACATCAATATATGTCTCGGCTTCAAGGGAATTTAAAAATACTTTGTACTTGGGCTGGCTCAACTTTTTTATGAAACAGTCTTTAGGAACTGACTCATTATTTTATGAAAATGTCAGAGTTCATCATTTTCTTTGAAGAGGATTTGTCTGATTGCTGCAGCTATATTGAACAAAATCATATATAATACTGTAATCAAAATATTAAGAGCCTAGGCGCTTATAAAATTCCAAGGCCATATCTATTCTAAAAGTGGCCATTTGAGGAAGTAATTTAAATCTTTGGGTTCTCCTGCATAGTAAAAAGGAACAGGTTTGAGTGTATAAGAAAAATAGCTATATTGACGAAAGTGTTTTAAGACAAGTCCATTTAAAATGGGCGTTTGTTATTGAATAACAGACTATCAGGTTTACATAAAGAAAAACAAAAAAGTGTTTACAAAATATTCTAGTTAGATATTAAATCTATATATTGAATAGCAGCCAAAATGTGCCCAATTGGCCAAATTAAATAGCGCCAAATTAAAGCAATTTACAGTATACTGGACGTTTGTTAACTACACCTCTTTAAATGGACTTAGTCTTGAATAAACACTTTCGTTATTGTGACTTTAATGTTACAATCAAGCATGTTACTAACAACTTTGAAATAAATCAAAAAACTAGTATTGCAATAAATCTTTATGTATGTATCTACCATGTAATGTGTTTGTGATGAATAATGAATTCGACATGTAATGCACAAGAGGATTGGTAGGGACTCAAGGATTTGATACAAGACTTAACATTGCACTGTAGGATGTATAGCTTTTTGTAGTATGTAGTTGATTGTTGTAGTTGTGGCAAACAAAAGGTTCTCTTTAGAGACAGATTTTAAATAATCTTGAATTGTGTCCGACTAATAATCAAGTCCACCTATCTACGTCACATATGTTTGAAGTTATTGAAGTTATGTTGTTCTGATGATTCATAGTTATCCCACCGAACAAAGTTTGAGGGGGATATAGGAAAGCCGTCCGTTTTATACCGTCTGTCCAGGCAATAGCTCAAATATCGATTGATGGATTTGATTCAAATTTTATAGGCTTATGGGTGTAGGACCTCTGCTCGAGAAGGAATTTTCAATATTGTTGCTCTAATTCAAAATGGCCGCCATTTTTCGTAAAAAATGTAATCTAGCCTATGATAACTCAATAACTATTGGACAGATTTGATTCCAATTTAATATGCTGATGCCTAGGAGTAGGAACAAAGTTACTTTTATTTAAGATTAGATTTTCAAGATGGCTGCTGATTTTCAAAATGGCCGTCACTTTTCCCAAAAAAACGTAATCTTTCATAACTGTAAACGACTTTGGTTCAAATTTTATATGCTGATACCAAGGGATATAGTAGGTCTTCAGAAAGAATTTTCAAGATGGCAGCTGAATTTCAAAATGGCTGCCATTTTTTGTAAACAAGATGGTGGCTGTTTTTCAAAACGGCTAAACTTTTTCATAAAAAATGTAATCTTTGGTAACTCAAATACCAGTTATCGGATTTGGTTTACATTTTAGAAGCTTATTATGTATGCTCTGTTCAAGATGGAAAGTTCTAGATGGCCACTAATTATCAAACATGTTTTCTTTGGTGGGATTTGCTACTCTATTGAGTTGCTGTTTTTCTAGTTACAAAAAATAATTACCTTTATTATTATGAATCATCAGAAATGGTAACGAATTACAAAAAATAATTACCTTTGTAATTATGAATCATTAGCCTTGCCCAAGTCAGTATTTTTTTACTTATCCAGTCATGATAGAAATCAAGATAAGTAAAAGAGACCGACTTGGGCAAGGCTAATGAATCATCAGAAAAAACATTGCTGCAATATCTTTCAACCGTCATCTGTTCCAGGTGCATTGATCAATTTTAATATTTTATGTGGTGTACATTTGCTAATGTGATTAATGATAAGACTATACCAATGCCAATTATAAGGTCATATGTCAATTCTTATTAATACAGAATCTATACACATTTCCAACAAGCCCTGCCTTCAAAATATATTGCATAATAAAAGATGGCAAGGTTTATCGGAAGGTATTTTTGTTTCCATTTATACAGGGTCGTCAAAAAACAGAAACTCTGCATTTTCCTTATATCTTTGTCATTTCTGAAAATTACTCCCTGATATTTCACACATATGTACATCATTCAATTTTTTACCATCCTACCATATTTCATGACCATAAGACTGATATTCACAATTTTACAGCACTTTGAATAACATGCTTCAGGTTTGGTCATCATCGCACTGTAGGCAAACTTGCACAGTTGTCAATGACCCAAATGTATTCCTCAGCAGGTATGGCCTGAATGAAACGGATGATCTCACTTTTGGGATTTTCAATTGTCCTGAGGTCATTCTCATACACGCTATCTCTGCTATATCCCCACAGATAGGGACATTTTGGACAACAAGTGCAGGTTTCCCGACAGCGCAAAAATGGCAAGTAGGGCATGTTCTTTAAAGTGCTGTAATATTGTGACTATCAATCTGATGATCATGATATAAATTGGGCTGGTAGAAAATTGAATGATGTACAAATTTGTAAAATATCAGGGCGTTATTTCTAAAAATGACAAAAGATATGAGGAAAATAGTGAAAGGGTTTCCATTCTTTTTTGACCATTCTTTATTTTAAAGGTTGATATCCAAATAAAATTTCTCAGTATTAGTTCAGTGATGAATTGAATATGAAAATATAATACATCTAAACTACAATACATGTAACACCCGATAAAACATTAGCCTTGTGCAGTATTTGAAGTGTTATGTTATATTTCCAGGTACAAGAAATCACACTCGTGACGAGGACACTCTGATAATCCTATTTCTGTATTTATTAAACCAAGTGTGGACCTTTGATTATTTGTGTGGACTAAAGTGTAGACATTTCTATGATATTGCTAACTGAGAAACCCATAAGATGTCTGAGTTGACATCTCTCATACATTCATATATAAATTAATGAAATATAAGTGTAGTTCCTTGTGCTGGTTACCTTAGAATTATTTACAAAATGTTGTTGCACAAACATTGATCAATACATACTGTCTTTAAAAGTGTAAGTATGTGAGAACGACATTCACACTTATCTCATATGTTTTATAACGTCTTTTATTTGACCTCTATAGCTTTTAGACTTCCACTCCGACGCTCTGATAATAATCACTGTTAGTGTATGAGATAGATACTTCTGTTGTAGTAATAAAGCATATTAAATTATACAAACATTGTTAGAACTATTTTGATTAAAATGATTTATTTGATTCCACACAAACTGTTATTCCAGTGTATCATTTGAATCAAGAGAATATTGACTGGTCTTTTACTAGATTACTTACATGTATAAGAATAAGACTGATTTTTATCAGCTTAATGGATAAGAATAAGACTGATTTTTTATTAATGACAGTATACCCTGGCCTCAGGCTAAATGGCAGTAAATGCCACCCTTGCACCTTCCTTAGTCTCTTAGACCTATATCTTGGTATTGCCAGCTTCCTCCCTTTCAACTCTTGAAACTCCATGCCCTCACATACTACTATTAATTAAATCTATTTTACAAGCGCAATTTCACATGTCCTTAAAATAATTCACTCCCATATAATTTGTGCAGCCAGATGGGGACATTTTGTCATGTTAATGTTTTGTGCCAATCTTTTTATAGGGCAGTGTAACTGGTGTGCATAAACTGAACAATGTAATGTATTCTAAATCTCTATGGTGCTTACTGATTTACTACAAGAACGAAAGGGATTTCATAAGAGGCTAATTATTTATTGATAACATTAAATGTTTCACACAAACGACACCCACTGGGTGTTATTAGATCGGGTATTAGATATTGCAGAGTTGGTGGATTAAAACGTAATATGAGATGATAAAATGCAAAACCTACTCTGATGGTTATTAAAACTACAATGGTGATGTTGATGTACCTTGATGAGTATGAGATTGAACATAAAACGTTTCCTGGTATTATAATCTCACATGAAGTCCTTAAAGGCTTCTCTAAAACTCCACACGCATCTAATTGAAAGCCTATGGCCATAGTCTCATTGATCTAAGTTCCAAAACTACATGTACACACTTTTGGCCATAATCTCTGTAAATAATCATCAGATATAGTTAAATAAATGGATAATTAAAACAATGAATTTCCAATAAACTGCAAAAAGAATACCCTTGGAATGGCATTGGCAGAATTAACCTATAAAAAACAGGTAGGAGTTAACCAAGTTTGGACTTTAGTAATGGCAGTTTCAGCCTTTAAATTAAAAAGCTTTTATGTCATATGAATAAATAGTCTCTATTGTATATAGCTTTCAACTAATAATTGGAGTAGACAAAATAAATTGCTATAGATTAGATAACAGACATATAAATGATGTTTGAAACAAAATGCAAATGAATATGTTATTAATAAGGTTCAGATGGAAGTACTATAAATTCTAAACTAATGTAGAGATCATTTCATACCTATCATATGTGATCTTCCAGATAAAAGGCAGTCCCCAGGATTTAAAAGACTACCACGCTGCTGTAGTATCGAAACGCACGCTCAAATCGTTCTTTTGTTGTCAGGTTGCACACATTAGTAGGGAATGTAACGCTCTTGGCAATGTCATTAACATTGGAAATCGTTTAATTAAATCACTTGTATCCCGGGACTTGTACTGGTGCTAGAAGCTCTATATCTGTGTATCTGCAACCTAATCATACAAGCGATCCATACACATGTTCAAAGATAGGGATAGTGGTGATAGAAAGGAGGATAGAAAGGAAGATTTGGTTTCCAACGAGCTTTGCCTCAGTGACTCAGAAGCATTGTAGCCCCTAAACAAAGAATAACTGAATAACTTGGATAGAATATTTGATAATATACCAAGAACATTGAAAATTAAATCCGAAACTACTATATCTAAGGCCACTATGGAAAAACAATTATTTCTAGATTAAACAATTATGCAATGGACAGATGGAAGTGAGGTAAACTTTAAAAATAAAAAATTTAGTCAATCAACAAAATGAATAGAACGCTATTACCATTAGCATGATAGGCCACAACATTTCTTCAAGATGTGACAATTTTTCTGACTGTGGTGGTGATCTTCTTTTACTTGGCAGTGGCGTTTGGTTTGATGTCATCCACATCTCTGGATTCACAAGCCTTACCATCAGCACTCTCTTCAGCACAGGCGTCCTCATCTTCGTTGCTGTGACTACACGCCGTAGCTCTCTCGCCTTCAGGCTCCTTAAACTCCCCGAGAGACTCGTCGTGTACCTCGCTATTTGTGATCTCATGTGGAGCACGACTCACATAGTGGACCACGTATACATGTGGGTCACCTATGACCACCCACCTGATCTTTTATGTAATGCCCTGGCTTTCCTTCTATCGGAGTTCGTGCTGGCACAAGGTCTGGTTGTATCATTCGCGGCCATTAATGCAATGGTTATCGTGGTCCTAGGGAAGACGATTGAACTCGGAAGATATGATTGGAGATTAGTTGTAGTAGCTTTAGGCTTGCCTACAGTTTGGGGCGTTGTCTTATTAGTTCTAGGGGTGTTTGGGCCTAGTGGGGCATGGTAAGTACATACTATATTGAGTTCCGCTGTTGAAAATAACGTATCACGAAATCCATCATATTCCTCATGGTTTCCTATCTGAAAACCTTTCATTTCAAAAATGCCCCCTAAGATTGTATGTGATTGAAATAAGTTTTTTAAGTTATCGTTATATTGTTTTCCCTTTCAGCGACTCATAAACTATTACACTATATAGTATGCCTCTGTCCCTTTATCAATATCACTGTGATGGAAAAACGTATCCGTTTCGGTACAAAATGACGCAGCCTCGGAGGTACATGTAATTAAGACTTTCATTTTTCAATGATTTCACGATGTAGACAGAACCTTGATGACCTTTTTGGCACAAAAGTGTGTCAGCATCATATGTTTAAGAAGAATCTAAGCGTTTGCGAACGAATAGTTCACACGACGCCAGAATTATATTTTCTCACTTGTGATACGTAAGCAGATGTTTAAAAGGGTTTACGTAAAAGACCGACCATATCTGTAGGCTTAAACTATTTATATACGTCGATTAATCATTTTGAAACTTACTGTTTCTACGGGAATCCTATTTGTACTGATTAGCGTTGGCCTATATTTAACGAAAATTTCGTACTTCTAATAAAAATAATTTTTTGTTATTTGTTATTGTCATACTGATCACTTAACACGATGTAATGTTACTTACGTTCTCTTGTCACGATCAAAAACAAACCACTTAGCACATCATTGAAAAGCTAGTTTTGTCAAATTGAATGTAGTTTCTACCAGATTGACGTTTAACAACTGAGAAATCAAACATTACGTTTAATCTAAAAAAGGTGACAATGTGATTTAAAGACCGCCAATGTTAAGTTTTTTTGTTATTTTCATACTGAACATATTGCATGTTACATGTTACGTGCGTTTTCTCATCATGATCCAAAGTGACCAACCAGAATGAAATTGATCTTCTTACAACTGAGACATTACTTAAAACATATCAAGACGATGTTTCATTTTTCATTTGTGTTGTAAACGTACTATAACTAGTCATTGGATTTCTAGTTCTTATTTTCCTCTTCCAGTTTTACATCTATTCATCTTTATGTAAAAATAGGCTAGGCAAATGGAAGTTTAACATCCCCAAAATTGCAACAGTTTTTAAATTAGGCTTATATTGTATATTGATATCAGTTGAAAAACATATCAAAAATGTAGAAAAATATATGCAGTGGACAAATATGAAATGTCACATTCTAGGTACCCCCCTCCAAATTTGAGTATGGGATTGTAAATATTTTTTTATTTCAAAATGGGATGCTCTTCTCAACTAAACGAGTAATATTATGATAGTTTACTGACATAAGAGCAACTAAAAATTGTTAACCAACTATTTGAGTGCAATAATTGGCATTTCTAGCCCCAAATATCTGAAAATAGGCCATCAAATAGCCTGAATTTAATATAACAATGTATTTATTTCTGTATCTATTCATCAGAATTGCATGAAAAAAATCAAGGAGGTTATTATACACCTGACCATTGTATTTGATAAGTATCAGGGTCATTAAGTGGATATTGAGGGTGAAAATAATATTTGAAATTTCAATATTTTACCACATACCTTTTTGGGGTGACCTTGCTTTTGTTTAATTACTTCCAAGATATGTCATATTTGAACTCAATAGCACAACTAAATTATTTGTAAAGGCTTATTTTGTCCTGAAAACAGTTTTTTGATGTTTTCAGGAAAGGATTATGTAAAAAAAAAGTAGAAAAAACAGCAAATGCCAGGTGAAATATAGGGGGGGGGGCCTACTTTTAGTTCATAACTGCTAAATTATCAAATGTTTTTTCCTTTTAAATTCAATTTGATATATAATATACCTTTTCTGGTAAAAGAGAGAACGATTTGTTAGAAATTAAGTACAATCGGTGGTCTAAAAATATCCTTGAAAAGGCAACAAAATGTTAAATATCCCTGTCCCTGACATCAGTTTATTAATATGAGCCAAAAAGGTAACCCAACCAAATGTTTGTTAATAACCCAGTCATTCAGCATGGGTGTGACATCATATTTGGCACAATTACCTTGTTCAATGTTCTTTCATTCTACTAAGTGTCATTGATCTATCCTTAATAGTCACGATTTTATGGCCATTTACAAAATATGCTCAAAATATCGCAATGTGCCTAACTGACTGGACATCAATACCACCATTTTTTATTATCTGTGGACCTTTTTTCTATACTAACAACACTTGAAACAAGAGATAAGAATGAAGATGAGAGCCATGACACAAGATTTTTATGCTCCTGATTTGAACAACTACGTACGATACGTTCAAGTTGGCCTCCAGGCATGACACTCATATTTCATGGCATGGTATAAAATGGCCATAAAAATCGTGACCACCAGAGATAGACCACTGAGACTGGGTAGATTGATAATACATTGACCAAGGCTCAATTCTGCCAAATATGACACTAAATCCATGCAGGATGACTGGACTGGGTTATTAAGATTTGTTTGGGATACGTTTTTGGCTCGCCCTGTATTAAGGAAAAAGAGTTACTTTTGACTACCGTGTTCTTAACCACACAGTGATATTGAGAAATGAAATGAAGAAGTTCAACTGAAGAATGTTGGATTTCAAGATGAAATTTAATAAAAAATGAGGAAAAGGTTTCTCCGTTAATAAATACTACTGAGTTAACTAGTGTAAATCCCTGGTCTTTATACAGGGCATGGCTCGATTATGTTATGTTCATTATCAAAAATGCTGCCTTAATTTTGTAATCTTAACCTTCATATATATTTGTCTTACTTATAGAGAGCAAAAAATAATGCTGATTAAATAAGCGAAAAAAAATTTTGGGCCCCTAAACCCCTAAAGTGGGCCCAAATTTTGAAATATTGAGGCCCATTTTCTTCAAAATTTGGCCTGAAATTAAAAAATAAGGCCTTAAAAGGCCCTCTTATGACCAAAAAGGCCCACTTTTTAGGGCCTTAAGGCCTTTTTTGGTCCCAATTTTTATTCTTGGCCCGCCCAAGGGGGCCCGAACCCCCAGCCCCCCCCCCAGATCCGCCAGTGTTCATTATTTAGTCATCATCATTTTCATGATCAGTTATGGAGGTATTTGGACAAATGCCTTTGCATACCTACTTCATAGAAGTAAAATATGCCTAACACACACAATGGATGATCTCTGAGAGAGGGGAGCTGCATTTAGGCAATGGGAACAAACGTTTCGTTGCTTTTTTCCCAGCAGTTTATTTCCCTTCCACTCCTGGATCTGATGGTATACTCTATAATTGTTGTTTTCCGCAGCATCAGAAGTTGGAGGAAGAACACAGGGCTGCAATAATTCATATCTTGCTGCTCTCTTTTAATAGAATTTTTGAAGCCTAAGTTCATTTAGGGTTTCACCATTTTTCCACCATAAATTGACAAAAGAGCATGTTCCTCGATCTGCAATGACAGAGTTACTTGCATTTCACTGGTTTTCCACTTGATTACGTTGTAACAAAATGTCGGAACATCGAAGATATGATTTTTCTTTTTTCCTTATTTCATGCGTTGTAGGCAGAATTATCACAAACATGTATCAGTATTATATGTTTAAAAAATGTACATATTTGCGGACAAATAGTTCAGAAGACAACAGAATCGTCGATTTACTTCCTTACTTAAGTTACATAAACGGTATTTTGATAAACAGTTAAGATCTCACTTTGAACTGCCACCGTTTATGTAAGGAATTAAATCAACAATTCTGTTGTCTTCTGAGCTATTTTTGCGCAAACATGTACATTTCTAAAACATATGATACTGATACACGATTGTGAGAAAAAAACATCGTGGGGATTCTGCCTACAACGAGTGAAAAAAAGGAAAAAAGAAATATCGTGCCTTCGACGTTTAGATATTTGACCCGTTTCGGTAAGAAGCGTAATTGATCGAATCACCAGTGCTTTGATAATTTAAAAACAACCGCTTGTTTTCTCAAGAACTCACTCTTTTCTATCTGCCTCAATGATAGCTTCTTGTCTATGCCATATATAACCTGAATGCGTTGTCACACCCCAGAAAAGATAAACAAAATATTGTCACAGACCACTTTTTCCGAAGACAATCTTATTTCATTTATATTCCAACATTTTGATTCTTGGGTTGCTGCTTTTGGTTCAGGTTTGAAGAAAATGTTGAAGTTTGTGTTTTATGCATGATAAATTAGAAGCACAAGGAGATCTGTATGAGTATACTGTATTTGAGGTTTGGACACTTTGCATTGCAGTTTTCACAATCACAATATCTGCATCCGATTCTGAATGTAGCACATGTACACTCAATGTTTTCCAACCTGACAGACAGATTTACCATCATTCCTACGTACTGAAATTATATTAATGAAAGACTCCCCAGATATCTGAGATTTAAATGTGCTCTATCAGTTTAAATTCCGTTTAATAACCATAAATTCGTTTCTACAGCATTATACATCCAATTTTATAGTTCAAAAGTAATGTACTCTTAATATGTAATGATTTATTTATCTGATGAATTTAAATTCTGTAATTGCGGATTGTAAATAATAATTTAAACAATATTAAATTCCACAGAAACTACAACTTACATTATTTAGATAAGTTATCGAATACCCTAATATCAGAGTGGTGATATGTAATTATTCATCAAATACAAGTGAGGTCACCTTAACATTTCACCTGGTGCAACTAATAAGGTATAAACCGTCACAAAACTTTAGATGATGACAATCCTATATAAATGATTTAGATGTCAACTCTAATACAAATGTGATGCATTTTGGGAGTTAGTCATCAAAACTATAGTCTCCCCTATAGTAGGCGGGGCAAAACTATGAAAATGAAATAATTTTTTTCTTCCTAAGTATACACGTTAGAATTCTGACACTCACCAAATATGAAGTTCATATAAATATGTAACACCATGATTTTTTTCATGCTTTTCTGACTAACTGATCCTAAAATATCTAAATAGATATGTGAAAACATGCCTGTTTTGTGGCCTATTTTGTTATACTTTGGGGTCAAATGACCAATTACTGGTCTCAAAAATGGTTAAAATAATATTTTAATTATTTGTGAATATGTGGTCTATCATAATAAAGCTTGAATACTTGACTAAAGTATTCCATTTGGGAAGGAAAAATTGTTTCCTACCAATACTCAATTTTGGGGTAGGGTTGTAGGGGGTACCTAGGAAGTGAAATTTCATATTTGTCCACTGCATACATTTTTCTACATTTTTGATATGTTTTTCAACTGATATCAATACATAATATAAGACTAATTTAAAAACTGTTGCAATTTTGGGGATGTTTGGGCCTTTTATGAGCCCATTTGCTTGGCCTAAAAGACCGACAGCCGACCACCGATCACGTGTACCCAACTGTGGAGAGTTACAGTACTGGTGATCAGTCTTTTTTGTAAACCCGTTAAAAAACGTTTAACATCTGCACTTTTTAACCGTCTCGTTCACGTAACAATATTTATAGTGAGGAATTATATCAATAATTCTGGCGTCTTGTGATCAAAAATGAAAAAGTTCGTGAAGATTACTAAATCGTGAAAATATAAAAAAAAATGTAAGCCTACCTCTGAGGCTGAACCATTTTTTACCGAAACGGATCAGTTTTCGTAATCAGTTTTTATTCTAAATAATTGTAAATTGAAAAAATATCCAGTAGCCAAAATGGAATTTTTCCATTGTCAGTTGTCACCGGTTTCTTTATATGTTAAATGTCAAATCGCGGAAGTATTAGGGTGACCATGATCCCTGGGCGCCATACTTTCTTTTACATGAAGGTCACTTTGCTCTTGTGTTTCAGGTGTCTGATTGACGCCCGAAAGGAGACCTACGCCCTCTTCAATAATCTTTATTCCAGTACTATGATCGTTGTATTTATGGTGAACCTATTCAGCTATACACTTGTTATTTGTAAGGTTCGAGTTCACAGTAAAAACATCAAACAATCCACGCAAGGATCAGCTATTAACAAAATTGCCGCAACATCAGCGCTGTTAATTCTTGCGTATTTTGCCCAGTGGTGGCCATGGTTTATATACGCCATATGGTCCCTCATTGGCAACAGTCCCCATATAATCCTTGTTGTCTTAAACACTATATTCTGTAACTTGGGCGGGGCATTTAATTTCTTTGCGTATAGTACATTCAGAAAGCGACTAGGGGAAAGAAACGCCAATGTTACGACAGAGAGGTTAGAGGGATGTGAAGATGAGGTCCAGGCACCAACTTCGTCCAAGGCAACTAAGGACATGCGATATTGAATCGCATATAGGCGAACTAAGGATATTGAATAATGCCATAGAGTACCACTTGTCGTCCCACTTACATTTCACTTTAATTGAATAGATGGCAGCGACATACGAGTTCTTGTGTGGTCTTGAACAAGATATTCTGTAACTTTGGTCCGGCTTTCATTTCGTATAATCACGGGCTCTTCTCTTTGATAGAGCCCGTGGTGTAATACATTCAGAAAGCGACTTGTTGAATTCGAAAGAACTCCAAATGTTGCGAGGAAGAACTTCTAGAAATATGTGGCTATAGAAGTCCAGGCATCAACTTGGTCCAGGGCAACTGACGACATTATATGAGTCAAAAGAATTAAAGCTGTAGTTCTACCTACATTTCTATAATTTAAAAGTACATGCACCAATTTCGTCCAGGGCAACTTATCATCATGAATGACGCAAAAGAATTAACGTTGATAGTTCCACCCACATAAGGTAATTATTAAAAGAGGCACCATTTTCGTCCATGGTGACTACTGTAAGCATATTGAATGACGCATTAATTAACTCTGGTCGTTCCTCTAAGGCCCATTGAAAAGTTTAAATTTATGGTATAATCGTTCACATATTACTTTTCAGGACTTGAAAAAATTCACTTTTGAAAAAAATTATTTATCTTATAATTTTCAAATATTTGAATTTCCCGCCATTTAAGAAACAGATGTGTGAGGTCATTTAGCTGGCAAAATATTTTTTAAAAACTTTTCTCGTACAAATATTTTCTAAATATGATGAACTTGTAAAATAATGCAATATCAGAATATTGTTGGCCTTTCTAGGCTTTTTATCATGTTTTAAATATTCATGTACAGTACCATTGGATTCAATGAGAAATAAAATCTTAGAATGCTTTTTCTCTGAACCACTTTTCTAACCTAATGGCTAATTTCTTGTTTATTTTTCATTCAATTTTCACCTCCATTCAGTTTTTTCAACACTAAATGGGTTAGGATGTATGTTATGCGTTGGTGTAAATTGTTGTTTAACAATATATGCGCGCGACAACTAAAACTTTAATTTGAAATTAATTCACATTTTTTAAAAAGTTTCGCAAATTGTTTCATCAAACATAATGAAACATTTTGATAATATTGGGTAATACTATAATATAAGCCAAAGGGGTTTAAACATTATTTGGAACCTTTAAATTTCTGATCGGAGTTAGAGATACCTTTTAAATGATTTAATAAGTGAGCACAAGTCTTATTTTTATGTTATGATTAAAAAGCACTTATTGTTGAAAATCCTCACCAGAAACACAATGGTGCATTCTTATTTCTATGCTCACATGTTTGTCAAATGATATTTAGGGAGTGTTGAAGATGATGTTATAAATCGATAAAGTAGACCTAATCAGAATATTTTTTCTACTCCGGAAGTGGCACGGAAACGATATTAATAAAGCCAGTGATCCAGAACGTAAAACTGCCATTATCGATAATCGTGTGATATGTAAAAGTGCACATTTATGCGTTGATATGATGAATTTATAATCAGGAGATACGATTGATTGATTTGTTAATGAGGTTTATTCAATATATTGTTTCTTGTGTGTGAGTGACAATTCAAGGACGATGAGTTCTTGCAAGTAGTTCAAACTGCACCCCCCAAAATGAGTCTGGTAATTACATATCCTAATTGTCCCCAATTTTATTCTATATCCTTAACAGATCCGTATAACTGATAGCTTGAGCAACTGAGCCCTTTTTAAGCAAGATGTAAAGAACATGCATATACATTGTCAGAAAAGAACGATTTCGTCGATAATCATCCGTGCTCTTGCTTACAAGTCCGCCCGTCTAGGCGAACGTATGTACAACTCTGTGGCTGCCACTGCACAATATTTGTGTATTTTTGAATTCTATAAAACCAGGTTGCTTATAATCCCGATAAACCCACCAACGCAATATGGATGCTTCATTTATTTCATCTGAAACTTGAGCTGATGAGATAGGTATAAAAATGAAATCATATCATGCGTATAATTGGCGAAAATTATTAACTTGACATGCCAGTGTGAGTGAATCAATCAATACAGTCCCCTCTTCTCGCCCACAATTACCATTGTATCATTTTACGTAGACATTTTCTAGTGCCTACCAGAACGTTTTTCATTCTAAGGCCAAATTGATTTAATCGTCCAGAGGCCCCACGTCACAAGTCATTTTCTAAGTTTCTTCTCATAACCGTTAGCACTGGTCCCCAACTGGTTATAAAGACGTTACGTCTTTATAACAAAATGGATTAACTTCCGTCGGAGTAATTTTTTTATTTTTACCAAGAAGGAGGTTGATTTGCATCCAAATATTTTACCCTCAGTCAGGTTCACTAAGTAAGTCAACATTCGAAATTCTGATGTTCATCAATATTTACTGAGAATGGTGCCACAATTAAAGTAAACCTCTGCTTTATTATTTTCAATATACCTATCAGCAAACGCGTAAATGATAATTTTGATGTTCTGTTACATAGAATTCTTCAAAGGGTTACCAGAGTGCTCCCCGGGAATGGGTATATCCGTCTTGTGCAATCAAAATAATAGCGGGTAGTTCGAATCTTTGTTTGAGTTTATAGCTTACATCTCTAAAGAAGCACGTAGGTTATCGCAAACAATTTCAAACGATTCTAACTTGAATTATGAATATTTTTTGATCATGAACATGGGTGTATCTTTTAGATCCATTCATTATCTTCAAGAAAAGTATATATAATGATAATTTAGTTAATCAGACCTAAGTAATATTGAAGGGGCAATGGACCAATCAACATACTTTTTCAAAAATGTTGACCTAATTTTCACCAAAAATGCAACCTATTATTAAATTGTTGAATGCATAATTAGAATGTGCTTTGAGACATGTTCGATTTCCTAAAAGGAAAATTTGATTGCTCCAGGGACTTTAAAGATATTCAATTTGGATGACCAAAATGAACTGAAACCAATGGATAGCATGAGATTTTTCAATGGAGAAATAACACGGGGAACACTTATCTTAATGCAATTAAGTTTTTCTTTCAAGAACTATTTGATGCATCAAAATAAAGAATAGTAATGCATTAAACATTGTAAAAAATGATTGCATTTTTGGTGAAAATGGGGTCAACATCTTCAAAATGGGGTCAAAATGTGTGTTGATGGGTTAATTGGTAGTTAAATATCTCCGAGTTTGTTTGAATTTATTATTACTGTGCATAATTTTCTTTGAGATAATGAATTGATCTAAAAGATAAACTTGTCTTCATTGTCAGAAAATAGTCATAATCCAAGATATAACCTTCTGAAATTGTTTGCGATAACCCACGTGCTCCTTTTAAACCATATCATGATGATATGACATCTCATTGAAAGGTACACGCAGTTTTTGGCGATTCATCATGATAAAAGACTAATATAAATATAATGAAAAAACAGGAGTTGACACCCTGACATTTAGAATTGAAATTTCCTCCATAATTGTCGACTGATGTTTAAAAGTCAAGAAAACAAGGCTGAACATAAAACATTGACCCATTTACTGTCTATTTATCATGGAATTACGAAGGGAAACATTATTTATGACTTAAATCGTTAACAGTTATGTTGTATTCAAGAAACTTATCAATTTAAAAATGCAAAATGTTCAATTTTGTTGCTCAATTATATAATTGTAGATCATAACAACGTTTACAAAATTATTTAAAACGGATATTTACATTAGTTGGCATGTGTCAGTGAATAAGAAGAATATGATTTTGATTCTATATCGTGTTCCCAAAGGAATCTGTTATATGTAAACAACGTACTTTTATCACCCCAAACTGAAACGTCTCGAATACTTATTTCGCGAACGCGTGTTGAGAATGAATTAGAGATGTATTCAAAATTAATACGTTAAAATATGTATTATCATCTTAACCACCTCACAAATTATTTTAGAAATCATAGATGTACGATTATTTAGATATTTATTTTCGAATGTAGACTTACTTACTGAACCTGACTGTACTCCTGTCACAAGTATATACATCCAAGGACTCCAATAATCGAATGAGAATTCCTCACTTCAGCAACCAGGACATTAATAGGCCAAAACTTAAAGCAACCAAGACGTTATGAAATTCACCAAATAACGTCCTGGTTGCTGAGGTGAGGAGTTTTCACTCGATTATTGGAGCTGCTGGATATGTTTGCTCGTGACTGCCTGGATTTTCAGTAACCGGAAATAAAAATGCATATAAGATTAATCATTTTCTATAAAAAAAACTTCCTGATTCACTGGTGATCCACTCGATTACGCTGGTTACCGAAACGAACCGTTTTGGTAACAAAATGTCGGAACATCGAAGGTACGATTTTTCTCGTTTCCTAATTTCAAGCGTTGTAGGCAGAATCCCCACGACGTTTTTTCTCACAACGTTTATCAGTGTCATATGTTTTAGAAAATGTACATGTTTGCGAAAAAATAGCTCAGAAGACAACAGAATCGTCGATTTACTTCCTCACTTAAGTTACATACACGGTTTGGGTTAAAAGTGCAGATCTTAAATGTTTTTCGAAAAACCGTTTATGTAACTTAAGTGAGGAATTAAATCGACGATTCTGTTGTCTTCTGAACTATTTGTTCGCAAATATGTACACTTTCTTAAACATATGATACTGATACACGTTTGTGTTAAAAAATGTCGTGGGAATTCTGCCTACAACGTGTGAAATAAGGGAACGAGAAAAATCGTACCTTCGATGATCCGACATTTTGTTACAAAACGAACCGTTTTGGTATTGGTAACCAGCGTAATCGAGTGGATCACCAGTGTGATTGATTTATCAAACTTCAAGTGGTACTATTTTGATCAAGGGGACTCCCCTTTGCAATCGAAAAAGCAAAGACATTCTTGGCATAGGCTGCACACGTATCAAATGTGTTTTACGTGTCTGAGAACATGGCCATATGAAATACATAATATGAAATATTGAACGTCGTTTTATTTTCAGGGATTTAAATTAATTGGCTGATAAGTATATGTCATTCTTTAAAAAATTATATTATCTTTTAACAAGGCATTAACCTGCCGAAATGTCAACAACATTTGTTATAGACGCCAACCGCCGTCACAAAAAACGGAGACCATACATAAAAATGCAGAGATGAAAGACAGAAGTCATTTATGAAGTCGTGTTATCAAAATTACTAAATGTTATTAACATAGAGCTTGTATACCGTGCCTTGGGCGCCCAGATGATCTAGCTGTGACGTTTAAAATATGATATAAAATTAACCTGATTTCATCTCTTTAACGGTTACTTAGGTAAGAATCCATTACCCAATATCAGGGGGTAGAAACGCGTCCAGTATTTTCGTCAGGTACAAACCGAGATACTAGACGCAGACCTCCATTTTTGATCCAAAGAGGGGTAGGTGTGATTTTACTCGGTCTGTGATCGTTTTACAGTGTTACCTTTTCTAGAAACAGACTCATCAGATTCCCAGTAGGCCTACATTGAGGAACACACAATTCTTATAAAATGACAGTCATCTATCTAGATTTTTGTAATGTGGGGTTAAGCACGGACGGAAATATTTTGATTTTTTCCAGGAAATACACGAATCGAGTCAGATTTCTTTTTATTTATCATTTCATTTACAGGATATGCAATTTTCTTGTGTATTGAATAAGAATACAGCTTCCAATCTGCAAATTTTAGCTTTGAAATGATCGAGAATAGAAAAATGACGAAATTTAAGGAACTGGACGCAAGCAATCCGGAATTAACAGGCTTTCGTCCAGTACAATTTTTATTTCGTCAATTATTTCTAAAAATTCGTCATTTTTTTTTATCGATCACCTTTAAGCTAAACTATTTGCAGATTAGAGGCTTGTTAGTTCATACACAAGAAAATTGCAAATTTTGTCAATGAAATGGTAAATAAAACATGTAAAAAGAAATATAACTCGATTCGTGTATTTCCTGAAAAAATATCATTACAGAAAAACACTGTAAAACGATCACAGGCAACCGAGTAAAAGTACAACTACCTCTCTCTGGATCAAAAATGGAGGTCTGCGTCGTGTATTTCCAGTTGTACCAGACGAAAATACAGGACGCTTTCTATCCCCTGAATATCTAATAGCCATCTTTTAATTTACCTCCTACAGAAACAGAGAACGCGATTTTTCGAACACGCGGGACATCTGTTTGCTATGGTGTTATGCCTCGTCTTCACTAGTTTAGCTCACAAACCACAATAACATTTACATATTCACACACAGTTTAAATTAAAGTACGACCGTACTTTTATCAGTGTCTCACAGCTATTACTAGCACTTGATATTTGTTTACATATAATTGTCCTTCACAAATAGATCCGTGTATTTTTAACAGGATCAGTGGATATACAACTTTTCATACAGCATAGGCTTTGCATAGACCTTATTTCCCTCTATTGGTTAACAATGGTGCTGTGACCTAATTTCCCTCTAAATACATGTATGTATGGCATGCTTAGTACTATGATACTAGGACCTATTTTCCTTTCTATTTTCCTTTGTGTTGGCATAGCATAATGCTATGACCTGATTTTCTTTTTTCTTGGCTTTATTTACATAATTTCCCTCTGGGCAACCTTGAAGACATGCTGTTTCAATATAAAACATGAAGCCTTTTGCCTTTTGACAATGATATGAATTCGTTCAAAAATAGTTATAATTTGGGATTTTAGTGCTGTTACACGGACGGTATGTCAAAAATCTATGCTGTGTATTGGTGGGCTTGTTTAGCAAACGTTGGCCTGAATCATGGTGTCCAACCAAAACGCTCAGATTACATGCACGAAGGATCGTTTCATTTCTGAAACTAAACAAAGAACGCCGGCGGGCGGATATGATGAGCCTTCTGACGATTTCCCGAATAATGGGAATAAGAGGTATGTGCTACTATACCATTCGGTGGGCGTGATATCCATGTTGTACTTGGCTGGCTGTTGACGTTTGAAGTAAATAAGAGCTGTACGGAGCAGTATAGTCAGGCCCGTAGCCAGAATTTTCCAAGTGGGGGTTCACTTTTCCAAAAAAAAATTCTAGGGGGGTTCACTTTGGCAAAGGACGATTTTCGTTTTGGAGAACAGTCTCCTGGGCTAATAATCTTTTTCATGAAAAATTGGTCTGAAGCAGGGATAACGCTCAATTAGACCGATTCAATAAAATACAAGTCTCGATTTGGGGAAAGAAGTTCATCAGTGTACAGCGTATTGTATTTTTTTGCGAAAAATCTAGAAATATTACCCAAATTAAATTATGACTATTCAAAAGAGGACATTCAAATCTATATTATGTAAACAAATCAAATTTGTCCAAAGCAGGGATAATGCTCATTTCGATTGATGAACTTTGTTCTCCAAACCGAGAATCGTCCTTTGGCCAAAAATCACTCAAAAAATTGTCAGAATGGTGAAAAACTGCATAATTTTGAAAGAAATTTTGACCAGGGGGGGGGGTTATCAAAATTGATGAACGTTTTTGTCATTCTACTGGTCAAAACCCCCTGTCGAGACATGTGATTAGTTCAGTCAAGATTAGAGCATCAGGGTATATTTTGGTCAAATTCCAAAGCTTCAACACACCATACATTATCGTAATTGTGATTTGATGACAAATCCAATCTTAAAATGATGACATTCTCATATTCAAGAAACGCTGCGATCTGGTTAACACAGTGAACACATAACGTACAATATGGAAGAGAAACGAGTGAAACAATAGTTACGGTCAAAGTGGGATATTCATTAGCCGCCATTTTATTTCGCTCCGCAGTGTTTCTGCGTGAATGAAACGCCCCGTTGTGCATGTAAGAGCGTTTAGGTTGGACACCGTGTGAATGTTATTGCGTGGCACTCATAAGATGCATATGTTATAGCTAGTGTGAAGATTAAATAGGCAGATAGAAGGTTGAAATAAATATGAATGAAAGTCGTCTGCAGTTATAAATTAGAGTTAAGTGATTTGATTGGTAGGGCTCAGAAACTGGCGCATGCGCATTCTCACTAGAAATACTATGTAGTGATATTCACAGATAAGTATAACAAAGGGATAATAATTATCTATAAAAACCTAAACTGGTATAAAAATGACTTTGGCCATGACGGAAGCATTCAAATTGGTAATAGAGGTCGGACAAGACACAAGACGCGAAAGAAGAACACCTCTTCAAAGAATACTTGAAGAAAAGAAGAATGAAAACTTTACAGCTGCTGTTTTGTCTTATACCGGTGTTAGCTACCATCGAAGCTGCAAAGATCTTGCTTTTTCCCATTGCGAATAGAAGCAATTCTAGACTGGCGCTGATGAAAAAGATTGGAAAAATGATCGAGGAGAGGGGACACCACGTAAGTAGTAAAGCTGTTACACAAAAATATAAGTGATACAAAAGTTTAAATTGTTATTCAAATTGCTCGTATTTTTGATCAAAATTTATATACTTAAGATTTTGTATATTTTGCTCTTCCTAAATGATACTCATATTCACCTCAAAAAAATGTATGTGTCATTACTTGCTCCAGAAAAATACTTTAATTTCAGAAAATATAAGTCTTATATATGTTTTATATGATACATGCCCAGCCTATCTAACTCCAAATGAACAGATAAAGTGGTTTAATTAAACAAGAGACATATAAAACAGTTTTATATGTCTCTGATTAAACATGTTGTTCAAAAAAGATTTGAAGGGATATATGATTTTCACGTATTTTGGTCTAATCTGACTTATTTTGTTTCAATTCTAGCTCATGTTTTATTATGTGTCGTCGTTTATGCTTAATAATTATCATCACTGAACTTTAGGCCAGTGCTGTCTGTCGGTTGTACTCACTAAAAAAGTTAAAAACATTTATCAACCTCGAGACCGTATGGTTAATAATTGACATCATACGACAACTGTCCCAATTAGCCCTGGTACAAAACAGAATTCTTTGACTCTTGTGAAACAAGGCAGGGGACAGCCAGCAATTGTCAAGGGTGGGTGCGAATTTTTGGGCTTGCTTCACTGCGCATTACCCCCCCCCCCTTCGAATTTCGGGCCAAAATAGGCCTTTTTGGTCATTACTGGGTCTTTTAAGGCCTTATTTTTAATTTTTGGCCAATTCAAAAAAATTAAAAAAATTCGGGCCACTAAAACCAAAAAGTGGACCCAAATTTTGAATTTTTTGGTCGCCCACGCACGTCCACTGGCTACGCCCATCCAAGGATTTCTTTGAAACGCTTCATAAAAACTTGTTTATCATCGTGAGAAAATCGATCGCGACATTATATAGACTTCTATTAAATATTGAGTAGGAGTTTGTCGCCAAAGGACGAATGCCTCATTCTTGGTTTCTAATCTTTCTTTACAACAAGTTGTCTTTGGGAAAGTTCCTTCAAAAGAATATCGGTAAAAATATATTTTATTCTTCAGGGATGTCGATCATTTTTTGTCAACGATTGAAAGCAAAAATACTTCTTCCAACTTTAAGACAGCCTTAAGCTATTTTATATTGATTCTGATAATATTTATATTGACAAAGCATTTCTATGAATACAATGACATTTACAAGGCTGCTCATTAGGAATAGATCTTCTATAATGACATTTACAAGGTTACATATGAGGAACAGATATATGCACTCATAGTTCATCTATATCAATAAATCGTTGAGAAAGTGGAGATTCTGTTCTGCACTACGGACCTATTCTTTTCTAACAATGTCAATACTTTCAATTTCACGCCCGCTGGGTCAAAGAATAAACATTTTGACTTAGACCACGCACGGATCGGATGATACATTAGAAACAAAAAACACAGAAGAGCTACTGTCATGTGAGGCACATACTAGTAACTCGTTTGTTTATTTCCAGGTTTCCGTCCTCGTCAACGACCATTTAGCGTCGCATTTTGATGGGCTTCACCAAATAGTTTTCCCGACATCCCCTTATGCTAAGACCAGGGCTGAAATGACAAAGCTGCTTTTGAATGAAGATCGTTCCTTCTTTCAACTCTTTATGAAGGAACAGCTTGACAACTGTAAAAACCTGCTCGCTGCGAATGACACGTTTGCCAAACTGAAATGGGAACAGTTTGATGTTGTTATAGTGGACTTGATGGACGCTTGTTCTCGCATTCTCGTTGATTATTTGGACACTCCATCAATCGTTTATTCCTTCGCAGGCTTTTCCGACAACTCTGACGTATTTGCTCCGATACCCGTGGCTTACGTCCCAAGTGTTTTTGGCAAATATACGGACGACATGAGTTTTTTCGAACGATTAAAGAACGCTTTCATGCACTTCATGATCAATCAGATAGCGCAACCAAACTTCTTCAAACCTTTCGAAGAACTGAAAAAGAAGTTAAACATCAATACATCATTGTCGATGGTAGACTCCTTCAAGCGTGCTTCACTGGTAGCTTGCAACGCCCATTTTGCATTGGACTACCCTAGACCGCTTATGCCACACGTACAAACATTCGGCGGAATGTTTAACGAGCCTGCCCGTCGCTTAGATTCTGACCTTGGTAGTTTCATTGATGACGCAACTGATGGACTGGTCGTTGTTAGCTTTGGCAGTCTCGTGGACACTGTTGATGCATCTGTTGTAGGAAAGATTGCATCTGCCCTCGGACGGCTTCCATACAAAGTGATATGGAAATATAGTGGTGAACTAAGCATGTCATCAGATATACCTGACAATGTGAGAGTTATGACATGGATTCCACAGAATGATCTACTTGGGCACAAAAACGTTAAGGTGTTCGTCACTCACGCCGGTATCAGCAGCACGTTTGAAAGTGTTTATCATGGGGTCCCTGTCGTTTCGATACCACTTTTCTGCGATCAGCATCACAATGCCAACAAACTTGTCGATAAATTAAATATGGGCATAAAGTTGAATTCTAAAACGTTTACCTCAGAAGAACTTTATAACACTATTATCCAGGTCATAAATAACCCTATTTATTTTAACAATGCAAGACTTGGTAAGGAGCGTTTAAGCGACCACGTAGCGTCGCCAAAGGCTGAGTTCCTTCACCGTGTAGACTCGCTCGCACGTAGTGGGAACGTTAAGTACCTTCGTTCCAAGTCATCTGATTACATGTCAAACATAAGATATTTTTTGATAGATATCTTGGCATTTGTCTGTTGTGCACTTTTACTTTTAAGTATCTTATGCTTTTTGTCATTGAAATGGTTACTTAGTGCATTTATCACCAAATTATCATTTCATTTGAAAAACTCCCCAGATACTAATACAGAAGATATAAACTAACAGAGGCCAGTCACTCAACTTAATCAGTCTGTACTTTTACGTTTACGCTATTGAAATAATGCCACATAATTATCAGTTCATCGTCCGTTGAATAGATCACTATAATTGTATATAAACATATAGAGGTATTACTCGTTCAATTTAAGAATTCAAGTTTTCTTATCTCAGGGAGTCTTTCAAAAATGATATATTGCATTGAAATATACTAATAAGTGGATAATGTGTAATTATTGTACAATTGTATTCATAGATGTAAATATATTTATAGGTGTAAATAGATGTAAATTATTTGAAATATATATTTATTTTCTTCAAGTGAAGTGTTCATTTCATGATATTTGATGTCACAATAACAGAACATTTGATTTACTACTTTGTAATGAGGTACACGCATGTACTATGTATAACTAGTACTGCATTTCATTATAGACCACTTAATACAAAAAGTTGTTTTTCGGGTTTGTTTATCGTATTAGAATCAAAGCAAAAACCTTGATTTCATGATTCATGGCAAAACCTTACATTTTATTCTAACCATTGCAAAATATCTCAATTGCTTTTATAAATCACCTAAATGAATTCTATTAAAGAATCGGTCACATTAGGGCAGTTTAAAAAGTTCTGCACAAATATCTCTAATTATAAAAAAAGTAATGAATCAATCTTGTTCATAGTTACTTACACTGCCAAGGTGATGACGCTAATATGATCTACATCATTTTTGTAAAAAACAAGCAATATAAAGGACAATATCACGTGACATGGTCTTCACCTACATAAATTGGCAACTCAAATCTAGATCTAGTACACTTGCTTTTATGACGATAGTGAATTTTATATGTGATTGAATATACTAGTTCTTCTAAGTTCATTTTGGCAGCCATCTTGGATTTCCACTGATGTGAAGGATATTACCGATATATTTTGACCTCTTAAACCAACACGTAGTCCAAGACCCAACAATCACCATGTTACATACTATTGTATTTGCTTATATATGGCAAGATATTTATTTTGGCAGCCATCTTGGATTGCAATATTAAGAATACTTTACCCCTTAAACCGCACGACATGCAGTCCTAGACACAAGAATTATCTGCTTCAAGTGCCGTGTGTGATACGATATGGCAGGTTATTCATTTTGGCAGCCTTCTTGAATTTAACTGAAACATTAGATCTCTTAATCCAAAATAAATAAAGTGTTGATGGCAGCAACTTTGTTAAACATTTTCATATCATGGATTTTCATATCTTTCCATTCATTTCTGGTAACGAGCGTCACTGGTGATCCACTCGATTACGCTGGTTACCGAAACGGTTCGTTCGTTTCGGTAACAAAATGTCGGATCATCGAAGGTACGATTTTTCTTTTTTCCTTATTTCACACGTTGTAAGCAGAATTTCCACGACATTTTTACCACAAACCAGTATCAGTATCATATGTTTAAGAAAATGCACATATTTGCAAACAAATAGTTCAGAAGACAACAAAATCGTCGATTTAATCCCTCACTTAAGTTACAGAAACGGTATTTCGAAAAAACAGTTAAGATCTGCACTTTTAACCCTTACCGTTTATGTAACTTAAGTGAGGAATTAAATCGACGATTCTGTTATCGTCTGAGCTATTTTTCAAAATGTCGTGGGGATTCTGCCTACAACGCGTGAAATAAGGAAAGAAGAAAAATCGTACCTTCGACATTTCGACATTTTGTTAATGAAACGAATCGTTTCGGTAACATTTGAATTTCTACACAAAAAGTTTGAATTTGAAGTAAATACTGAGTTCTTTATATTAATTTTTATTAATGTACATCTCACATCTCATAAATTCTAATGAATCGCCACCGTACAGTTGATGCGTTAAATGTACGGATCTGACCTTTTTAAAATATACAAAATGAATGATTATTTACTGAATCTTCATCTGTCCTAAAATACGTAGTTAACAAATACATATTCTCATTAAAATAATCCGTACTCTCAAACGGTTGGGAAATAATAAGCAAACGAAATGTGAATTTTTTTATCTTTGGTCGAGCATGTTGGCCGATTCACTCTGAGAAAATCCGAGTAGTGCTTGAAAATCTTTTGTCATAATTAAAAACTTAAAACCTTTTCTAAGAGAATGCTGTTTTTGTTACACACGAAATCGTATTTATTTTCATCAAATTAATTTTTTGATGAACATAGTTTTTGCTTCAAATCACTTAATTTCGTGACGCGATAATTGTTAGGTGTTATATTGCCTCTGTTTAATATAACTTTAGCTCACATGGCTAAACACTCATATCTCCTATGCTCAATGTAAAACTGGGTAAAACAAGGTAAAGCAGTGTGTTTAATCATACCTCATCCTTCAATTTGTGCTGGTCATTATGCGTGTTGGGTTCATACCTTACGCCTTCTTTCAAAGTAACTTTTTCAATTTGTTTGTCAATTTTCAAATGACTAGAGGTATCTGAGGTCAGTAAGTCTTTGCCAAATGCCAAGTTCAATGGCAGTTATTTAAATGGAATCAAAGAAAACATTTTTGATTATTTTGTGTATTTTCTTTTTTTTATTAATAACACTATAAATCAGTAAATACAGAAAAACACTTGTTAATATACAGGGTGAGCCAAAAATGTCGATATTTTTTATATTGATTTTCGCGTGGGATGCAGGAATCACTTTTGCTCCTGACGTGGGATAAATAATTTTTTCTGGGTGTAAGATAATATAATAGTATTCAAATTAGTTTTTAGACCCTGAAACCATTCCTTTGACATGTTATATGCTCAGAAAAATTAATAATTTGAATCTTTATGTTTATATTCCGAAATAATAATAATTTGAATCCATTTTTACAATCCAAAAATGCTAACATTGACACCTAAATTGCCATCTGAGTGACATCACTAATGTTGCAAAATATTTTTGATATGCTAAAACATTGAAGTGGCCCATTAAATATGGCATTTTATTATTGAAATAGTGTGTCCTTTGTTCAATCTTTGCATTGGTGTTAAAAAAATAATCTTTTTTGAAATGCATTAAGAAATATTTGATGATTAAAAAATTTCAACTTTTTTTGAAAATTGGCGGGAAAGGACGATTCACGGTTTGGAGAACAGTCTCCTGGGCTAATAATTTTTTCATGAAAAATATAGAAATATTACCCAAATTAAACTATGAATATTCAAAAGAGGACATTTAAATCTACAAGATGTAAAAATGACAAATTGGTCTGAAGCAGGGGTAACGCTCAATTAGACCGATTCAATAAAATACAAGTCTCGATTTGGGGAAAGAAGTTCATCAGTGTACTGCCCTAATAATTTTTTGCAAAAAATCTAGAAATATTACCCAAATTAAATTATGACTATTTAAAAGAAGACATTCAAATCTATATTATGTAAAAAAATCAAATCTGTCCGAAGCAGGGATATATGCTCATTTAGATTGATGAACTTCGTTCTCCAAACCGAGAATCGTCCTTTGAATATTTAGGAAATGAAATGCTCACAACTTTTTTTTTTAAATCTCTAAAATAACTTTTTAAGTCATAACAAAAAGTAAATGAATGATAAAAAAATATTTTCAAACTTTAGACGGGGACTCTAACCACAAAGTAGCAAAGCAACAGATTTTTCTGAAACTATATATTTTGTTATTACCCATACCAAAAATAAAGATGATTAGACAAATGGTTTTTGAGGTATAGCCATGTATCATATTGCCCTCAATAACATATTGTCAAGGGGTAAATCTAAAAATGACAACATTGTTTCCAGAAATTGATTCTGCGTTGATTCTCATACTGGGTGGTAGAAATGTCACATTATATTCATGTAACATAACAGAAACATCCCCAGCTCCCGACGATGGTCAATTGCAACCCTCCTATACAGCACACCAACTGATAGTTCCAGATTCCGGAATACCTACAAGGCCCTTCAATCAAACTCATTGTGTGAATGTACATCGTTTGGATTTTGTAAAAAAATTAAAAATGCTAAAATTATTTACTTTGAAAAATTTTGTATTTTGTTAATGGCATTTCGGTTGGCAAACACATATGTCGTTCATTGGGGATTTGCTACTTTTTGGAATTTTCTTGTTTCCTCTTTGCAGAATGAAAATAATGAAGTATGAACACATGCTTTGAACATTTGTCATCGTGTACTTTTAACGAAACTAGGAACTAGGTCGAGAATGGTCTGGATAGCTGATGTTTAAGGATGTCAACTATCATATGATCATATAAAAGTGCTTGGGGATCTTTTATATTTACAATTTAGCCTTTGGGTTTATAATGCTTCAAGAAGTCTTAAAACGGATGTATTTTATTATCTAAAGATCGATAGTTCAATTCTTCCCTAGAATTTTATGATTAATAAACATCTTCGTAAGCATTCTTAAATTCATGAATTAAGTAACTGTTCTTTAATAATGACATCATGTTTTCCATGGGTACAACAACTTGTAAATAAATAGAGCTAAAAATGTTACATATATCATCCGAGATTGACATTCTCACTGACTAAGTGAAGAATAATGTATCCAATGCAAAAAATTATCATTGTGAGTGTAACTTTAGATATAGGTATAAACACGGTGTCCAACCCAAACGCTCTTACATGCACGACGGAGCGTTTCATTTAGGCGGAAACGCTCCGGAGCAAATAAAATGGCGGCTAATGAAGATTCCACTATGACCACTATGACCACTATTCCACAAATTACGAATTAAACTAGTATTTCTATGAAAACGTTAATCTTTCTGTTAAAGTAGTAGATCACAAACTCGTATATTCTCATTTCCTAAAATCCCAGTCCAAATCCATTACTTATTCTCGAGAAATCGCTTGTTTTCCTCGAAACGCTCCGTCGATTTAGGACACAATTTTAGAAACGTTCTTACCATTTTGTTTTGATATCATTTTCAGATTATTAGAGAAGAGTTCTGAATTGAATCTATCTCTCAAAAACGTGTTGTATTTTTTAGGCAAATTGAAACATCCGAACCTGGTGGTGCTTAACGTGCAACTAGCTGATTTAAGCCTACATTAGATGATGTCATGCCTACATGTGTGCTAAATCATAAAGCTATTGAAAAAAACGAAAAGTTTATATGTGAATTAATCTTTCTTCTTTTGATGCCAATGGGTATAATAGATATTTTCTTTCTCTTCCTGAAAAGGAAAGGCAAGCTATATATTTCCTAAACAGATCTAGACTACCGGAGCGTTTCCAGTTCACTGTGTTAACCTGATCGGAGCGTTTCTTGAATATGAGAATGTCATCATTTTTAAGACTGGATTTTCGGTCAT